ATTATTCATCGATAGTAGTCATAAACTATTATGTTTGATTATATAAATATGTTACTTTTGTTAGACTTTTCTTTTGTCTTTATCTGAATTATTAACTTCTTCAGCAGAATGAAGACAACTTTAGTACACTTTTTGTTTGATTTAATTTCAGTGTTTGTTGGTTTGTCTTCTTGTTTTGATGAGCCTTTGTTGGTCGTGGAGTAGTCCGTAATACTTCAACTTTCGATTATCATATTATATATTCATCAGTCTAATAAAACTTTGATGGATCATTTGGGATAATATGTGATCAATAAGCTGATAATGTACTCATCAAGCACAAAACTTTGTAGAACTTTAAACAGAGAAGATTAATTGAAATAAATGTTGACGAAATAATACTCAGAATATCTTCTATTCATTCATATATTCAACAAGGAATCACCTTTAAGTATGGACTGTATCTTCAATACTGAATTTACTCTGTTAAAATGAATGAAATATATTGACTGATATAGGCGATCTAAAGATACTAAGTTCCCTAATTCTCGTACTAAATGAGCACAAATTCCCTTGTAAATTAAGCCACGTAATCAGTCACATGTAATCATACTTTGAAAATATTCTCATGAAAATTCAAAATTTATGTGAAAATTGCTGTATCACTAGTCTGAAAGAAGCGCAAAAATACAACGAAAGGAAAGACTTATATGTTCAAAATTTTTCATATAATTCTAAATATGTCTAACCATTATAGTAGTATAACTTCATTTAAATTACGACTTTTAGGGAAGCTGAGCGAAAAACTTTTGTAATGCCTTATGCATACATGTATTTATGTCCATGATTGTATTCTGTCAAACAAGAAAATTTTTGTATATGTTCACCTGGCTAGGCAAGGACTCTGTTTGACAAATGAAAAATGACGTTCACCACTATTCAACGATGGGACCGCCAGCAAAGACAAAGACTGATCTATGATGACGTTTGATCTTTACATGGTTGTATAAAATATATGGAACGAAAATATTCAACCTGATTATTGTTGACGAAATGTTGCTACTCAATTAGTATTTTCTTTGTCATGAGTCATGTTTCAATTATCTTTATGATTACTCGCTTCTCGCTTTACTGAACATAAAAGGTAATGCTTAGAATTCTTTTACTCAAATATTGATTTGACTAAAAACTTTCCGTTTAAAACTGCTCACATATATCAGTGGAAATGATATTGAAAATCTATCGAAGTCTTATGTCGAGTCCTTCGTTCTGAAATCAAGATCATAACGAAAACCGATCAGATTATGCACAATAAAGCAAGTTTCGATTATAAGGACACGCATACGGTGAAATACTGAATGGCTGCGACTTCGAACATTTGAAATCGACCGACTGTTTCATTTTTTGGTATAAACGTCATGTTGTATACCTTTTTAAAAGAAATCTTTGAGTTTTCTAAACATGAGTCGAAATTGTACCAAAGCGTTTCACTTCATAATTTCTACATATTGCGGATTGATGTTGATTGAAGAATAAAGAAGTAACAATAATCTCTCTGAACACGATTAGCAGGTGTCATTTTATATCTAGACGAATGTTGTCACGTCAGTCATCTATTGGACCTTCCTGACGAAGTGTTGTTGATTATCTGTTATTATCTTCATCCTGTTGATGTTCTTCGTGCTTTTTTTGAAGAACACTTCGGATTGTTTGCATCGTCTCATTCTCGATTATCGCACGAATCTCGTGTTTAACGCTCTGTTCTATTCCGAGTTCCGTTTTGTGATCGATCAAAGTCTGCTTCACTTGGAAACATCACAGTTGACATTGAGTAACGAGGATATTCTGTGTCTGATCGAACACTTTCTAATCATTATGCCATCAAGTTCCATTAATCAATCTACGAAAACTCACTCTCAAGTCATGCACTAGTATAAGTTCTTCACTCGTTGCTTAGCTCTCGGATCAATCGA